AGGAACTTCATGAATACCAAACCAGCACTCCAAAATATTTTAGACAATATCCTAGGAAGAGACATTGAGGATCACAACCCCAGGAAGCCCAGCAGAATGAATCCATAGGGCGCAACAAGAAATTAAACCCTAAGGGGGAGAATCCCATACAAAGAAAAAGTTATGACAATGATAAGTATGAGTTATAACCATGAATGTTAATGGTCTCGACTCACCAATCAAAACAAATAGACTGGCAGAATGGGTCAAGAAACAAGATCCAACAATACACTGCATACAAGAAACACATTTAATTCAAAAAGAAACTCACTGACTGAAAGTTAAAGGGTGGAATACTCCATGTGACAGGAACCTGAAAAAAAAAAGCAGGAGTAGCTATCCTCTTTGCAGATCAAGTGGATTTCAAACCAAAATCTGAAGCACTGTTCCCAAGAATTTCAGATAAGGGATACTCAACTTGTATGTACAAATCTATTGTGAACACGTGTTTTCATTCCTCTCAAGTAAAAACTTAAGAACAGGACTGTTGGCTCTTAACAGTAATACAGGAAATTTCTGTACTTTTTTCCAAAATGGTTTTATCATTTTACATTCACATTAGCAGTATTAGAAAGTTCTAACAGGTTCCCCCCACAAGCTGACATTTGTTCTTTTAAAATTTAACTTCATCTCCCTAATGAGTGTATAATTCAATCTTGTTATTGTACTGATTAGTATTTTTCTGATTCTAGTGTTGCACACCTTTCCTTGTGCTGTACTGGCTATTTATCATCTTCTTGTGTCTACTTTTTAATTGGGTTGTCTATTAATGAGCTGTAAGAGTTCTTTATATATTCTGGTCATAGGTTATATGCACTATAAATATGGTCTGTTTAAGGACTACTTTTCATTTTCTTAACAATGTCATTTAAAGTTCTAAATTTTGATGGAATCTCATTTATCAACTTTTTTCTTTTCTACATCATGGTTTTTATAATCCTAGGAAATTCTTGCCTACCCTAAAATCATGAATATTTTCCCTTATAATTTCTTCTTAAAGTTTTATAGTTTTAGTCTTTTGTAGTTAGGTTCATAGATATTTTCAAGTTATTTTTATGTATGGAAATACAGGATTGAGGTTAATTTTTTACATACAGATACCAGGTGTTCTAGTGCCATTTGCTGAAAACACTATCTTTTCCCCTGCTCTTGAATTGAGTTTATGTTCTATAAAATGTTAATGTTAAATAATCTTTCAAAATTCAGTGGACCATATATGTGTGGCTCTATTTCTCGATTCTCTGTTTTATTCCAATGATCTATGATCCAATGATGTCTTTCCTTAGACCAACACTGCCTTGATTACTGTAGCTTTAGAGGAAGTCTTAAAATTAGGTACTAAATGTCTTCCAACACTGTTTTCTTTTTTACTTTTCTAGGTCCTTTGTACTCCTACATGACTTTAAAATTTCAATACCCAATTCTTCATTTATAGCAAGTATACATAGACCTGAATTTTTATATATACCTTGTGCTTTCTAATACTCCTAAATTCAAATACAAGTTCTAGGGGCTCCTAAAGATTTCTTAGTATTTTCTCTGTAGATGATCATTTCATCTACATATAAAGATTTTACTTCTACCTTGCCAATCCTATCCTAATTATGCCATTTTATCTCCAGATTATTTTGGTTTAGGCCTATGTTTCAACTTTTAATGGACAGATGAAAAGTAGGCATATCTGCCCTTGTTCCCCACCTTAGGGAGAAAGTATTGTATCTTCTCCATTCATATAAGGCATTTTTGCTGCAAGTATGGAGTACATGGCTTATCTGTTGGGAAGGTTCTGTTCTACTTCTAGTCTCCTGATAGATAGCTTTTACCATGAATAGCTGTAGAATTTAGTCCAATACTTTTTCTGCACCTACTGACAGTATCATATGGCTTTTTCCTTTCTTCTGTTAAAATGATGACCTGTGTGGGTGGATCTTTCAATGCTGAACCAATACTGCCATCCTTATAATAAAACCACTCTCTACATACTGCCAGATCTGACTTCTAGTAGTTTGTTTTGTTAAACCAATTTTTATCTATGTTCATACTTTTTTCTTCTATTATCTTTATCCAGCTTTAGTGTTAGCACAATGTTGATTTCCTAAAATGAGGAGAGAAGTGTTCCTTCTTTTTTCTGCTTTAAATGTTTGATATAATTTATCAGTTAAAATGTATATAAGCCTGTTGTTATCATATAGACAGGTTTTGAAGCTAGGAATATACTTTCTTTAATAGGTGTTATTCAAATTTTATACTTCCTCCAGAGTTAGTTT